CACCTTTACTACTTCCTGCACCACCCCCTACGTCGTGGACCTATTTCCCTCTCTTCCCATAACATTTTAGGATTGCAGATATATTAATGCAATTGCCAAAGACAGTTTCCACACTCTGCACTGCAAACCTTACTACTTCCTTCACCATTTCCTACGTCATAGACTTGTTTCCTTCCCTTCTCATAGCATTTTTGGATTAAAGATACATCAATCTAACTGCCACAGACGGTTTTCACACTATGCTCATACTTTACTACTTTCTAAGCCTTTTTCTACATCGTGGACCTGTTTTCATCACTTTCCATAGCAATTTAGTATTTTTGATACGTTAATCTAATTGCCACAAACATTCCCCACACTCCGCACTGCTAGCTTTTACTACTTCTTTCACCATTATCTATGTCGTGGGGATGCTTCCATCCCTTCTTATAGCATTTCAGCATTGCAGATACATTAATTTAACTGCTACAAACGGTTTCCAGTTCCCACACTTCACATTGCTCACCTTACAAATTCCTTCACCACTTCATACGTCTCGGACATTTTCTCTTCCTTCCCATAGCATTTTATGATTGCAGATACAGTACCTTAATATAATTGTCATAAACAGTTCCTATACTCCGGACAATTTGCCTTTACTACTTCCTTCATCACTTCCTACGTCGCGGACCCGTTATCCTCCGTTCCCATAGCATTTTATGATTGCAGAAATCTTCATCTAATCGTCATAAACAGCTCCCACACTCCGGACTGCTCGCCTTTACTACTTCCTTCACCACTTCCTACATCGTGGACCTGTTTTCCTCCCTTCCCACAGCATTTTATGATTGCAGATACCTTAATCTAATCGTCATAAACAGTTCCAACACTCCGGACTGCTCGCCTTTACTACTTCCTTCGCCTCTTCCTACGCCACGGACCTTTTCCTAACCCTTTCCATAGCATTTTATGATTGCAGATACCTTAATCTTATCGTCATAAACAGTTCCCAAACTCTGGACAGCCCGCCTTGACTACTTCCTTCACCACTTCCTACGTGACGGACATGTTTCCCTCCCTTCCCAGAGCATCATAGGATTGCAAATACCTTAATATAATGGTCATAAGCAGTTCCCACACTCCGGTCAGCTTGCCTTGACTACTTCCTTCATCACTTCCTACATCGCGGACCCGTTTTGCTCCCTTCCCATAGCATTTTATGATTGCAGATACCTTAATCTAATCGTCATAAACAGTTCCAACACTCCGGACTGCTCGCCTTTACTACTTCCATCGCCACTTCCTACGCAACGGACCTGTTTCCCTCCCTTTCCGTAGCATTTTATGATTATATATACATTAATCTAATCGTCATAAACAGTTCCCATACTCCGTACTGCTCGCCTTTACTACTCTCTTCACCACTTCCTACGTGACGGACATGATTCCCTCCCTTACCATAGCATCATAGGATTGCAACTACCTTAATATAATGGTCATAAGCAGTTCTCACACTCCGGACAGCTTGCCTTGGCTACTTCCTTCATCACTGCCTACGTCGCAGACCCGTTTTCCTCCTTTCCCATAGCATTTTAAGATTGCAGATTCCTTAATACTTAATCTAATCGTCATAAACAGTTCCAACACTCCGGACTGCTCGCCATTACTACCTACTTCCTTCAACACTTCCTACGTCGTGGACCCGTTTTCCTCCCTTCCCATAGCATTTTATGATTGCAGATACCTTAATCTTATCGTCATAAACAGTTCCCAAACTCTGGACAGCCCGCCTTGACTACTTCCTTCACCACTTCCTACGTGACGGACATGTTTCCCTCCCTTCCCAGAGCATCATAGGATTGCAAATACCTTAATATAATGGTCATAAGCAGTTCCCACACTCCGGTCAGCTTGCCTTGACTACTTCCTTCATCACTTCCTACGTCGCGGACCCGTTATCCTCCATTCCCATAGCATTTTATGATTACAGATATCTTCATCTAATCGTCATAAACAGTCTCCACACTCCTGACTGCTCGCCTTTACTACTTCCTTCGCCACTTCTTACGTGACGGACATGTTTCCCTTCCTTCCCATAGCATCATAGGATTGCAAATACCTTAATATAATGGTCTGAAGCAGTTCCCACAACCCGGACAGCTTGCCTTGACTACTTCCTTCATCACTTCCTACGTCGTGGACCCGTTTTCCTCCCTTCCCATAGCATTTTATGATTGCAGATACCTTAATGTAATTGTCATAAACAGTTCCAACACTCCGGACTGCTCGCATTTACTACTTCCTTCGCCACTTCCTACGCCACGGACCTGTTTCCCCCCCTTTCCGTAGCATTTTATGATTGCAGATAACTTAATCTAATCGTCATAATCAGTTCCCACACTCCGGACAGCTTGCCTTGACTACTTTCTTCATCACTTCCTACTTCTCGGACCCGTTTTGCTCCCTTCCCATAGCATTTTATGATTGCAGATATCTTCATCTAATCGTCATAAACAGTTCCCATCCTCCGGACTGTTCGCCTTTACTACTTCCTTCACCACTTCCTACGTGACGGACATGTTCCCCTCCCTTCCCAAAGCATCAAAGGATTGCAAATACCGTAATCTAATCGTCATAAACAGTTCCCACACTCCAGACAGCTTGCCTTGACTAGCTCCTTCAGCACTTCCTACGTGACGGTCATGTTTCCCTCTCTTCCCATAGCATCATAGGATTGCAAATACCTTAATATAATGTCATAAGCAGTTCCCACACTTCGGACAGCTTGCCTTGACTACTTCCTTTATCACTTCCTACGTCGCGGACCCGTTATCTTCCCTTCCCTTATAATTTTTGGAATGCAGATACCTAAATCTTATCGTCATTACCAGTTTGCACACTCCAGACTGTTCACCTTTAGTACTTCCTTTAACACTTCCTACGTCGCGGACCTCAAGCTATAGTTCGGCCGCTTGGAAAGCGACCTCCTCCAGCATTGGTTTAGCATTAGCGCGCAGGTCGTTTTCTAAGCGGCCGAACTATAGTGTCGTCATTTGATTATTTTATGATCCAAACCACCGTTTATGTTCTTATATCTGTGGAATAATGCTCTATTTATTTATCTACTGCATTTAAAAGTCAACAGCTGATCATATGTCTTTGTTTATGTGTCAAATACTGCTTCCATAAGGATTACATTGAAACTTTGAGACCCAGTGGGGCGGATTCCTGAGAGTTATTTTTAACGCCATATAGATGTTGGCACTCACCGATATGGTCTTTATCACCATCCAAAATTTGAAAACGATTGACTCAGCCGTCTAGGAGGAGTTTGCGTATTACGAAATGCATAAAAGTCGACGTATAAGAGCTTCGCTCGCTTCGCTCGCTCCGCTCAATTATTTTGTTTGTAATTTGCTTTGGTTAAAGCGTAGCAAATCCCCTAATTCAATTCTGTATTTGTGTGTGTATGTCTGTTGGTAACGCATTAATGTCCTTATTTCTCAGTGTTTCGTGGAAAAGACAAGAGCACCTTTGTTAATGAAAATTTCAACCCGAATAAAGTGTGCAGTAGTGAGGTTAAGGTAGTATTTTAACTACTTTTATAACCAGTGTGAAAAGTAACTTTCAATTACAGGCCTACCTTAGGGCTATGCCTCATAGATCTATAAAGCAATTCCTTTTATCATTACATATAAAATATGGACTAACACGATCGGGTGACATTTAATTGCGAAGCATTCGTTTTGGCTTTGAAACTGTCCGATATTGTAGTTGCGAAGGTTTATATGTATTCCTATACAGTAATAGTTTTGCCAGCATATCTGGAAAAATGCACACTAAATATGCAAACCAACTCCTGTTCTGAATATAAGGTTTCAACATACTACAAGATTCCCGTACATAGAACGGGCAACCAGCAAAGGCGAGTCTATATATAAAGCCAAAAGTACCCATGAACTTTTGAGAAAACTACAAGTCACACCCCCATAAACCATATACTTCAAGTGTTCGTCATGACGAGAAACCTTGCGCAAAACTATCCATTATTTCATAAATTGCCCTTTAAGGTCGTAATTCCTTTCTAAAGGGAACTTTTCATATACCTAATGTTAAAAAACCTCAGCTGTACTTATTTGTTTGTTATTCTTTCAATTTATTACCTTATTAAAATCAGGTGTGATTATTTGTTTCTTTTACTGTATTTTGTTTATTTCAGGTTAACTTAACCAATCAATAGGCAAATTAATACAATACAATACAATTAATAACAATTCAATACAATTAATACCTATGATGACAAATGGGGTGAAGCCCGTGGGTAACAGCTAGTTTCAAATAAATAAAAAAACTGACAAATGACTTAGATAAATACTTATATAAGCCTATTTATAAATTAGAGTGAACTTTATTAGTTCTCATGCTTTAGTCAAATTCAAACGTTTACAGTAGGTCTATTTTAAAACAAACACTTAGTTCCATATTTTTTCAATTGTTTTTTGCAATTAATAATAAACCTTTAATACCAAGACATAAGTTGGATACACATACATATTGTTTTTTTTTTTTTTTTTATGGTATAACAGTTTTTAACCAGGTTTACTTTTAGTGAATTGAGAAATGCTTTGTTCGTAAAAATGAAGATGGAATATGTCAAATAAAATGTTTGATTTTCTCGTTAACTACTCGACTCGATACTCAAGTATTAGGGCTAATTACTCAAATCGACTTAAAAAAACACTACTCGCCCATCCCTACTAATATCCATACATTTGTAATTTGTACATTTAAACCTCAACTACCACAGAACGTACTACTAACTAAGCAATGAGTTATGCAAGTTAAAAAATTAATAATAATGATAATAATAATAATAACAAATTAAATAACAATAAGAATATTTTTTATGAGAATTTTTATCAAGCAAGTTTCAACATCCTGATAACAAATATTATTTGTTTTCCAATATAAATTAATTTCCATAACTTTTTACCTAGTGAACTTTCTGTAATAATATGTACCTGTTTCTTCAGTTGTGAGAGTAGTTGTAAGCTGCGGTGGTGGTAGTGGCTGCACTGCTCTGTGTACTCGCTACGAGCTGACGTCACATCCAGGGCTACTACCACTCCTCTCACCTGGGTCACCACATCTGTAGTCAGACACTCTAGATCCTGGACAGCTACCAACACTGGAGATCCCCTCAGGGTGCTGCAAAATAAACTACAATCACATCCAGCAGATAACATCTAAGAAATCCCATGATTCTAATTTTCTATTCTATTCTATACCGATTAGTATTTCACTCAAAAAAATTAATTTCAGATGCCTGTTGTTCATCTTTAATGAATACTTGGAGAAAATATTTTTAAAGCGCTCTGGGGATGAAAAGATTTTAATTAACCATTCCCAATTCAAAAGTGTCACGCATTGTAATTATATTTCTTGATAGTCGATTATTTTGTCTTGCACTATCCTACACTTGCCTGTTTATGAAGTAGGTGTATAACTCTTTCACCAAGAAGTCTCCGAGTTGATCTGGAGTTAGGTTACAGGGAAACCAATTTTCTTCCAGGCTACTTTGCCCCTGATTTACAACAGTCGATACAGTGGTATCCTGTGAAATAGTTCAATAAGAAGAAAACATTTAACATTATAGGTAGGGGTGGGCGAGTAAAGGGTAATTAATTACTCAGGTTTTAACAGGTAGGCCTAATCGAAGCCAAGTTGAGTCAAGTAGAGTACTCAAAGTCAAATCGAATAGTGTACTAGACATCGAGTATAACTTGTCAAATTCTAGCCATAATTTTATGATGGCTGTTAAGCATATACTAGAGGTAGTCCAGTGGTCGAAAACTCGACCAAAAATATGTAATGTACAGATTTCTCTATATTCACCCCGACCACGCAGTTATGAAAACATGTGATTGGAATTTCATTAATTTGTTTTGATTTTATTTTTATATTTTGTTGTTATTTCGTCACCCAAGGCAATCCATAAAGCTATGTTAATTTTTTTTTAATTTTAATTTAAATTCATGTTTTGTGCTTATTTTTGAGCCTATTTTAATTTATAAAGGGGATTCTGCACATCTAGAGGAATGTCGCTAAATGTCTACAGAAATTGATTCCGGGAATTTTTTGATTGTTACATGTATATAGATACCAAAACACAAATAACACTGTCTGCGGTTTTACTGCCTAGTTTTCTTGGCAGTTTTATATAAATAGATTGCAATCACCCAATCACAAGCTTGTGGTTTGCCTACATTGTTGTATTGCCTTTCCCACCAATAACCTAGGCAATAAAACTGTGATATGCAGGTAGCGGTGTAAATAAAAGGTGAGAGCCAAAGAACCTTACAATGTGTAATAGGGATGGACGGGATTTTTTCTTGTGCAAAAAAGGATTCGTTTTAAAAGACTTCAGTATTGCAGTTACAAAAAAATTAAAAAAATCAATTTTTACAGTTTGTGGCACTGATAAAAAAAAATTGTGGTCACCACAAAATGGTCGAAATGACTCGCGGTCACGGCGCGATCGGCGAAGTGACTCGCAGTCACAACGCGATCGTCTGAATGACTTGTGGTCACGACGCGATCATGAGAAATGACTCGCGTTCACGGCGCGATCGTTGAAATGACTCGTGGTCACAGCACGATTGTCGAAATGACTTGCGGCACGACGCGATCGTCGAACTGACTTGTGGTCATGGTGCGATCGTTGAAATGACTTTGTCTTTCCGTTTCGACCATTTAGCCGTGACCAAAATTTTTTTTTATCAGTGCCACAAACGGTAAAAGTTGATTTTTTTTATTTATTTGTAACTGCAATACTGAAGTCTTTTAAAAAGAATCCTTTTTTGCACAAGAAAAAATCCCGCCCCATCCTGAAAATTGGGAAGGAAATACAAATCCCGTCCCGAACTAAAAATTCAATCCCCTCCATCCCTATTACACATTGTAAGGTTCTTTGGCTCTCACCTTTTATTTACACCGCTAGATCCGGAAATCTTTTTCCCGAAAATTTCCCGAAATTTCGGGACCCGTCCTTCCGTAATATGTAACCTTGACTGTCCTCCTGGCTATCCATCAATATTTTTTTGAAAAATACTTAACATTTAAAATATTGGCCCGAAATCTTAACATAAGAATATTGGCAAGTCATAACCAATTCTAACTTTGTTCTTTAAATCCACCTGCTTCTATTTCACCATGTGGTAATTATAGAACAACATTAAATCATTCTGATTTTGACACACTATTTAGCTATACAGTTGGAATTAATTATGTAGTATCAGAGATCTATCTTTATTCTTTGGTGTCTAAAATAATAAAATATAAATATCATACCCTTATGTATAACACATTTAAAATTGAATCTCCTTTCCAATAGGCCAAAATATTAAAAATACAAAGAAGAAATTTATCCCTAAATCACCATGATATTTCGTACTAGCAAGGTACGAGCTGGTTGCCTGACTTTGTATGAGTTAATAATACAATGACATATGAGACCAGAATTATTGTGATAATTTCGTGCTGGCAAGACGCTTGACGGTTTCCTGACCTTGAATTGTCTATAGTACAAAGTCTCTGCATTTTTTTATGCTGGAGTCCGCTAACGATGTTTGGTGAGCGTCAAAGCAAACAAATACGTCATTGACCTAAAAAAACGTCATTGGGTTCTTTGTTTATTTTGTATGTGACATTTTGTATTTTAACTTTTTGCAGAAAATGCTATTGTTGAATTTTGTCTATTAAATCTCAAATTTAAATGTTTTGTGTCCAGTGTCATGTATGTACTTCGATACCAATAACAGAGTCAAGGAATCTGTGATATCACAGATAAGTAAGGTAGATACGAAACATGCTTAAGGGACTTCAGCTCTGGTATTTTGGGGCGGAAATATACTTGTAACAAGCAAGGAAGAGCTGAACGGCGAACACTGGGCAGAAATTCCTATCGCACGGGGCACAGGGTATTCCTTCACCGTGAGCGTACATGAGGTCGAGGGGAGCAGTGCGGGACTTTGCCTTCAACACCAACACTAGGCTGGACACCACTTTAGTGTACCATTGAATGTTTCCTCTGTTCCTTAATTCTCTTTGATGGTATCGAGAATCGACACATCTTTAACAAAAATAATACTTTACGTAGGCTAAAATTATTGTTTTAATTTGTGTACTAAAGTTTAAGGTTATTGTTGCTATAAAAGTAAATTTATAATTATCTAAGTTTAGCAACTATTAACTACTAGTCTCTCATTACCAGAAACTCACTACCACCGTCACAGATGGCGTTGTGTTTGATATCTCCCCACAAACGGAACACTTTCTTACTAGACTCTGGACACACAACCAACCAAGCCACAGCTGCCTCTAACACCTCGTACAGCCGTTTAGGTCCAAGAGCTTGAATTAGACATGTAAAGCTCAGCTCCATGGAGGTCTGAAATATACATATTAGATATCATATTACACTGTAAAATTTTTTGTGACGTTACTCTGTTTTATTGGACTTTCCTGCAAGGATTCAGTCGGAAAAACAACTGTTTAATGCCTGCCTTATCTAATCTCACCATACTACCTTACTGTACCGTAATGAATTTTTCAGGACACCGGCATATTGCAATTACTACTGTATTTATTGAAACCCCTGCATATTTTGTAAACATAACTGCTTATCAAGAGAATAACATATGATTCTACGACTTCCCAGTCTTCCACAATTTTGACGCAAAGAATCGGCTTACATAATTAATATGTGGTGTTTACCGGTTGAGTACAGTAAACACATTTTGGATGAGTCACGTACAATATTTTATGCCATACTACTCTGAACTAATAATAACAATAAAATAAACTGACTTAAGGACTCAATAATCACTACTCTCATATCTTCTAAGAGAGGTTATGTTTTAGATTGATTGATTGAGTTTATAATTACTCTTTGCCAATTATAATCAGCTGGTGTCTAGCAAAATTCATTACATAATGTAGTGCATAATGTACACCAGTTGATTAATGGGCTGCAAATAGCTGTTTCCCAGACTAAATTCATGCTTGGAAAGTCCATTTAATTTAAACAAAGTACCTAGTGTGGAAAAGACAACCGTACAGAAGAATTATAGTACAGTGTGAAAGAAGAAGTATTGTACTTGTATGGTAATTAATTACATACGGTTAACACCTATTTTCTGGACTGGTAACGTAATACTCAATACTCTATTGTGTGAACTGATTCCTACTCAAACTGATTTTGTGTTCTGGTTTTTAAAAGGAAATCTCAACTTATTAGGTTATTTAATCATATTAAATATTTCAAATTGTGATTTAGTTAAAGTCATTTCTGTAATACCTATTGTTTCCTTTACACTTTTTCAGTAAAGTACAACCATGTAAGCCATGGAATGGAACTAGAATTTGAATTTGAAAACAACTGTCTGTTTTATTGGTTAATGTAAGCTCAGGAAAAATAAGCTCATGATCGGCTAAATCATACGTTGTTAAATACTCCACAGAAGTCCTCCACATTCGATTCGAGCTTGTGGCTTCAAAGTTTAAATCTACATTTTTCCTTGGTTGCTTGCAGAAAAACCATTATATAGTGACCAAAAAGAACAAATAACGATGATATCTTTCTCGATTAAAAGAAGTATAAAGAAACTTAAATTGGAAAAAGCAGGAAGCAAAGGAAATTGAAGACTTCTGATACATGTGATAACCAACTCTAAAAATCCAAACAAGAAATCACATTTAGCACAAGAGTGAGCAGAGCATTGTTCGTTCTGGATGCGGGCTGCGGGCTTGTGGCAAAATGTCAAAGAAGAGATAAATCTGAGAGTTCCGGACAGTCAGATGTCTTTTTTTTACAATTGGGTCCTTTTATACTTAAAGATTTATGAAAACAATGGGCCCACTGCTGCAAATTAGTGGGTAAATCATTTAATCCTTGTAATTCCGTGGTTAGTTTGAAACATTTTACTCTCTATGATTAGAAAGGAGATTTTAAAACTGAACAATTTAATTTAGTCCAAGAGATAAGGTTTCTTTAGCTAAGTGTATTTCTATCAGACAACCTTGTTTTTAAGCAAAGAGGTTCTGTAAGCATAACTAAATTAATACAGTATTAAGATTGAGAAATCTTAAGAATAGGCTACTAGGAAAGAATAGAGGGCGGGAGTGTTACGTTATTCTTGCCCATCTGATGGGTCTTGCTCCACATTTTATTTCTGCCTTTGGATGAGAAATAGCTCTCTGTTTAAATATAAAATCACCTTTTCCAACCGATTTTTGTATCTGCTCTTTGAGATAAGCTATTTCATTGGATGATGTAGGCTATCATGATTATTTAACGCACCTGATACATTGTCAATTTCATTACAACTTATATGCTTGAAATTTTGACAAGTTATTCTTCTTGTTGAAAACAAAAATATCTTCTTTGGGGCTAAACTTAACAGTTCAGATTTCAATATTTTTATATTTTAAATATACATAATTGTTGTCAGTAAAATGTTCAAAACAAATTATGGAAGTAAGAGGATTAAATTATTGATCTGCCCGGTTGCAGCAGTTTGCTAGTTTGCAGCATATTGTTTGCATAGTTCTTCGTCCTTAGGAAAACAATGATTCTATTTTAGGTCCGTCACTATGTAAGTCACGGGTTTACATTTGACTATTAAGACTGCAACAGAACATCCCTCACCAGGCATGTCAACCACGCTAGTTAAATTAAAATTAAAAATAACACAAGAAAGAAAATTAAAACAGAAGCAGTCAAATAACATAAAACGGACAAAATAAAACTAGAAGGAAAATTACTCAATAGCACTGAACGTATACAAAATAAAAGCAATAACAACAAATTTGAGGGGTGTCAGCTGTGTGAATTAGAAGCAGCACCGTCCGGCTCAGCTGATGACGTCATACACGCGTCTTAGGCAACCTCTTTTTCAGTACACTTGATGTCAGACAAGGTTTGACGATGTTCACTGTTTAGTCGAATGACATGTTTAAGTATATTTACCTTACTTGATGAGTCTTCAAATATAGATGACGGCAAAGTACAGATGAATTTGCAAAATGGTTTTGAAAGTGATACAATTTCCTCATCTAGCAAAGCTAAATGATATGTGTGTAACAAATTTGCGCACCGCGTCACTAAAACAAATCAGACAGAATCATTTAAGTGTATTACAGTATCACTGAATTATAAATAAATTATATCTACTTTATTTCATCATGCAATGCTTATGTGGTCAAAGATATTTGATTAGATAGCCTATTTTATGTACAATAGTAACAAATTAGAAAAGGGTATTAGTTATAAGGAGAACCTGGACTAGCAAGATCTATTCTGCTTTTGAGTACTGTTTATAAGGAGAACCTGGACTAGCAAGATCTATTCTGCTCTTTGAGTACTGTTTATAAGGAGAACCTGGACTAGCAAGATCTATTCTGCTCTTTGAGTACTGTTTATAAGGAGAACCTAGGGGTCTGCGGATCCCCGAATTTTTCGGTTCGGGTTGGGCCAGTGAAAGGCCTGAGAGACCGGGTCGGGTCAAGATCGGGTCGGGCAAAAAAAAAATTATTATTATTTATATTTCCAAAGAAACACTCTTATATCTTCTATATAAATAAAATTACAGTTTTGTCTGTACATTGCTTAGAATCATGCAGTTTTTGGTTATTTTTACGTTTCATAGCCTAAGAAAGGCGAAACGAGTCTTATCTCAATTTCTGTCCGTCTGTCTGTTTGTCCATTCTGTGGTTCCGTCTGTAACGCCAAAATGTAATTTTACGCGGCCTACTCCTAGAAAACTAGAGTACCGATCAAGGTTCTAATCATTTTTCTGTATTTACTGGATTGGTGAAAGTGTCTTTGGCTATAAAAACATGGCCTCGCTTCTATAACAAAATATAACAATAACAAAATAACGAACCATCAAAAACCCAATTTTGTTTGATTTTTGTCAAATTTTCTCCCAATGTTTACTATTACATTTTATGAAATAACGATCAGCTGTTGGATTAGTTCTCACTTCTAGCTGTCACTGATATGTTTACATTAAAAGTTGTTTACAAATACCGAAACCATTTCGATCAAGTTTGGTTATCACATCCAAACCAAGTGAGATTAAAAACGTTGTGCCTTACTTAGCCGGTTTAATTATTTGCAAGTGCAACGATTGTTCTTGAGTTTTGATAACCGGGGAAAATACCGTGAATCAGTGTTGTATTAGTGCTGGGTAACTTACATGTTCTTAATCATGGTCACCAATAGCTTACAAAAAAGGTTTCCACTCATTCACGGCGCTTCAAGGACAGTTGTGTAAAGTACAAAGTAAAAAATCACAACTGCAGTGGGTGATCGTGGATGTTGCTGCGATCTTGGAAGATCTTTCTGATTTCGCTGTGACCGTAACAGAGGTTTAACTCACAGATGTAGCTAAACTTGCTTTTCCAATACGTGTCACTTTTGGTTTCTACTTACTAACATTTCTTCTTACTTTCTACTTACTAACTTCGGTACTTTTCCTACTTAGGAAGTAAAACTACAATCGTCCAAAACCCCAGATTTGTGCGTTTTGTCACATTTCCTCCGAATGTTTGCTATATATATATATGTACCGATTATCGTTTAGAGATTACGTAATCTTTTAAAAAAAAACCTTTGTTTGGATAAAGGTGGTTTCTTCAAACTGTTAACATTAAAAGTTGCTTACAAATAATGATATTAATGGGAAATAACTTTGATTTTCAAAAACTTAAAAAAATTTAAAACCAAGGGAGATTAATAACTTCGGTACTGCACCACATCAAGTGAAAGTTTTTTTGAGCAAACCATAGTGAGTTTTTAAAGCTTTACGTTGTTAACTTTATATGTTACATGTTTTCTGGCCTGTGTATTTATTTATTTATATATTTGCCAACGGATTAACACCTATAATACAGTTTGATTAGAAGGGATCAGTTGCTGAAGGTCTAAGTCCCGGAGGGTCTAAGAGTACAGTCAATGCAAAAAAACTCATCCACTCATACTGGTTTAGACCTTGCAGGATTAGACCTTGGGCACACAATGTAATTTTGAAAATAAAAGTTCATAAAATGAGAGTTGCTGAAGGTCTACTTCCCGGAAGGTCTAAGATTTGAGTACCGGAAGGTCTAAAATTCGAGTCCCGGAAGGTCTAAGATTTGAGTCCCAGAAGGTCTAAGATTTGAGTCCCGGAAGGTCTAAGATTCGAGTCCCCGAAGGTCTAAGATGCGAGTCCCGGAAGGTCTAAGATGCGAGTCCCGGAAGGTCTAAGATTCGAGTCCCGGAAGGTCTAAGATTTGAGTCCCAAAAGGTCTAAGATGCGAGTCCCAAAAGGTCTAAGATGCGAACGGGCATTGCGTCGCCAGAGTTGGCTATATAGACAGGCAATAATGCAACAACTTTTAGAGTTGTAATATTCTTAATGAAAGTTTTAATAACTCTCAAGTATATTTTTGCTAGCTCGTTATTAATAATAAATCATTGATGATGCTTGATGACAAATATATGCTTGTATAGTGTTATTTTAAGACCAAAATTATGAAAATGGGTCGACTGGAAGAGCCAAACGAACTCGAAATATAAGTAAAAATGAATGCCGATACTTAATGGCAAATCTGTGGTGCGTCCACCTTTAGTTTAAGGCCAAAACTATGAAAATCGGTTGGGTAGAAGAGCTAACCCTGCTTGAAAAAACCCCAGTAATGTTAATAGTTCGCGATAATTGGTTTACCATCATGCATACATAATCTAATCATGCGAAACAGGTGTTATTAGTTTAACAGCTTATTGTTATATTGTTATTTAAATGCATTTTCTTTGATTAAATGTTGTTAACAATTTGTATTTGTGTTTAAAGTGTGTTCCTTATGTTAAGTGTGTTGTTCTAATGTTATGTGCTTAATCTGTACCATTAATATTTGTGAGTTAAGTGGTGTATGGATTTCATAACCATTATTTTACTAGTAGGCTAGGCCTTTTAGACTTTTACCAGGGCAAAATTAATAACAAAGCAAAACCAACTGGAATGTGTTAGGCATGCATCCCTTAACATTTTGTGAAAACTCTCAACTTCTCCCACTGTAGCAAAATCCGCCAATATGGAAAATGGCGGACAATCTATAGAACACTGCAAGGTTCCACTTAAAAACTTATTGTTCCCAAACCATTCCATCTAGAAAAGTCTAATTAGTCTTAGATTCTTCGCCTTAATATTATCAACAAGAAAATAACATATTAAATAACAGTAATATGGTTTTAATAGTAAAAAACTAATTGAATTTTAAAATATGTAAAAAAATGTACACATATTCTTACTTTTTTGGGGTTTTCGCCATTACTATTGAGGGAATGCAGATTTAACCTTTCAGCAAACATGTAGGGCTTTAAATTCCGTTTCATTTCCATATACAGGGTGGTCTGGACCTAGCGTTAAAATTTTTTTTGGGTGGTAGAGCAACACAATTAAGTGTGACACAAATCCACAATTTAAATAAATATATTCCATACACCCACTTGCAGAAACATTATTTTGATTTTTTTTTAAAACCTGTACATTTATACAAAATTTTTAAATTCCTATAGTATTTTCATACATTTTTATAACTTTGACACTACCATCATATTCTGCATTAAATTCTATGTAAGAATAGACAGCTTTTGGTGAGCCCAAAGCTTCAGAATTGTTATTTTTAAATTGATTAGAATTAAGAAAATTTGATTTTCACAAAAAAAGGTTAAAAATAAGCCTACAGACACTTTTCTAAGAAAAATACTAGAGATTAGCAAATGGCTACAAAAACTGCTCTAAAATCTTAGCTTTTAAAAGATAAGATGAGGCATTTAATTTGCTTCCTTTTAAGTAATGCTATTCCAGTTATAACTGTGGAAAACATGGTTTAAGGAAAACAAAAACACACTAAAACAAACCAAAAAGACACACGTGATAGATTTTATTATTATAGAAACAGCATGAGGCTGCAACAAAATTTGTATCTAGACAAGTTCAAAACAAATTCCAAGTATTGGATTGATAACCAAACTAAATGGCAAGTTCATTTTAATTTATTTTTTAAATGTCCTCCATTCTCTCTGATGCAGGCTCTAGCTCTCTTCCGCAAAGAAATCCATGGGGCTCAGATCAGGAGATCTTGCGGGCCAGGGCACTGGACCTCCTCGTCCTATCCACGTGGGATAGTTAGCACTCAGCCAATCTCGAATGTCATTCGTAAAATGAGGAGGTGCTCCGTCTTGTTGATAAATGATATCTTGATGGAGCACAGGATCAATCACATCCAAAATTTGAGACAGATCGTGTTGCAAAAATTCAAGGTACATCTCTTCACTCAAACTTCCCTCAAAAATATGGGGACCTAAGAAGCAATCACCAATCACAGCTGCCCAAACGTTTATAGTAAATCTTTTTTGAAAGGAGTATTGAGGAGAGCATGGGGCTAGAGTAGATTTCTGTCGCTACCTCCTGAATTCTGACATTGAGCAGTTTTTGTAGCCATTTGCTAACTTTTAGTATTTTTCTTAAAAAAAGTGTCTGTGGGCTTATTTTTAACCTTTTTGTGAAAACCAAAATTTCTTAGTTCTAATCAATTTAAAAATAGCAATTCTGAAGCTTTGGGCTCACCAAAAGCTGTCTATTCTTACATAGAATTTAATGCAGAATATGATGATAGTGTCAAAGTTATAAAAATGTATGAAAATACTATAGGAATTTAAAAATTTGGTGTAAATGTACAGGTTTTAAAAAAAAAATCAAAATAATGTTTCTGCAAGTGGGTGTATGGAATATATTTTTTTTAATTGTGGATTTGTGTCACACTTAATTGTGTTGCTCTACCACCCAAAAAAAATTTTAACGCTAGGTCCAGACCACCCTGTATATGGAAATGAAACGGAATTTAAAGCCCTACATGTTTGCTGAAAGGTTAAATCTGCATTCCCTCAATAGTAATGGCGAAAACCCCAAAAAAGTAAGAATATGTGTACATTTTTTTACATATTTTAAAATTCAATTAGTTTTTTACTATTAAAACCATATTACTGTTATTTAATATGTTATTTTCTTGTTGATAATATTAAGGCGAAGAATCTAAGACTAATTAGACTTTTCTAG